GGGCCGCTGCATTGTGCCCAACACCTTTGGAACCTGCAGTCTGTAGATTCTACTCTGGGCCTGCCTTTTAGCCAGCCATAGGGCCCGGGGTAGACAGCCAGCGGCCAGCCCACACTTGAGAGGCCAGGCCCAGGAAATAGGCTTGTCCAGGTTCCACCAAACCCAAGAAGTGGACTTGGGACCATTAAGAATGACCTTGGTGACTGGAGGAGTGGGCCGCAGGCTGTGAGTGTAATTCAGTGCCTGCCTAGTGGGCAGGGGCACAGTGTCCCCTAGAGCAGCCCCCGCCCCTCCCCATCCCAGCCCCCCCCCCAGGCAAAACGGGCTTGGCGGTGAAGAGCAGGAACTAGAATGAGCCACTTGGGGGACGGGGGAACACCGTGGAAGACCCACAGTGTCAACATAGCAATCTACCAAGAGCAGTGGCATTTGTGAGGCAGACGCGTCCGAGCTGGGCAGGTCCCGTGGGAAGGTGTGAAAATCTGTGTGAATTCAGGAACACAAAGATGGCCAGGAAAGGGTTAAACGTGCCCATGGTGGGCTGGAGGGGGGCGGGGAGGCGAAGCAGCCTTGGATCCAGCAGAACTGGCCACGGAGATGGAGGCCTTCTGGATCTGCCCTGCCCAGCGTGGCAGCCACTGGGCGCCTGTGGCGGCTGCACACTTCAGATGTGGCCAGTGAACCACTGTAAACCTGCCATCAGCCTGGGCAGCCACACGCGGCTTGTGGCCATGGCCTCAGCACAGCTGTGGCCCAGGCAGCTTGTGAGGGTCACGAGCATGTCCCCCAGGATAGCAAGGCCCGAGGTGGGGCTGGTTTGACAGGAGCTGCACTTGAGGGATTCAGGACACCTGTCCGAGCCTGATCTCCCCCCGGTGCACCACATCTGTGCAGCCTGCCACAGCCTCAGCTGGGATGCGGCACTGTGCGTGTGCTTCTCAGACCCCACAGCCCACATGGGCATGGCAAGTGGCAGCGGGCTGTCAGGACCACTTGGGGTGAAGGCTCTGCAGTTAAGAGGGTTTGAAGCCTTCAACACAGCCCTGGCACCCAGCCATGGTGGAGGGCGTGCCACTGTGCCATCCCTCTCTGCCACCTCCTCCTCGCCTTGGCCCAGAGCACAGGACATCCAAGCCAGGAAGCAGCATTCCTTTGCAAAGTTAGACTTCAGCCCAGTCCTTGAGAATGCCTGTGGCTCTGGAGAACCCCTGGCCCTGAGGCTCCTCCTCCCTCCCTCTCCCCCTTCGCAGATGCTGCTGGAGAAGCTGAATGGCACGGTGCCCTGCCTGCTGGACACCAGCACCATCCCCGCCGCTGAGCTGACCTTGAGCCCCTCCCGCTCCGTCGCCAGCTCCGGCCTGGCCGAGAGCCTGGTCACCGGCACCCCCCGACCCTCCAATGGTGACTCGCCGGCCCACCCCTATCACCGCACCTTCTCTGCCCACTTCCACCAGTTCGTGGAGCAATGTCTTCAGCGCAACCCAGACGCCAGGTACACCCACTGGCCGCCCAAAGAGGGTTGCCGGGGGTGGGAGGCGGCATCTCTCAAAGGCTCTGCAAGGGTTTGGGGGGATCTGGAGCCCCCACTGCACGCGGGGCCAGCTCTGGGATTTTGGGGGAGCCCAGGGAAGAAGCGGGGGGGCACAGAAGATATAGGTGTCTTGTCCCTTTCCCCACAGGCCGAGTGCCAGCACCCTCCTGAACCACTCCTTCTTCAAGCAGGTACAGTAGTGTTCCTGCCCGGCTCCCGTTTGTTTCTGGCCTGTGGTTCCCACTGCCCACGGTGCCTCAGTTTTGGGTCCCCAGCTGACCCAGCTTTTGGGTCAGGGAGTGAGACACAGCCAGGAGTCTCCTCATGGCCTTTAGGTATCCCTGGGGCCAGGGCTGTGGCACCTGTCAGCAACACCTCCTCCCCCTCCCCTCCCCCAGATCAAGCGGCGTGCCTCCGAGGCCTTGCCTGAGCTGCTGCGGCCCGTCACCCCCATCACTAACTTTGAGAGCAGCCAGCCCCAGGACCACAACACCATCTTCGGCCTGGTGAACAACCTGGAAGAGCTCGAGGTGGATGACTGGGAGTTCTGAGCGCTGCTCTACAGGCCTGCGCAAGGCCTGGCCTCCTGCCCCGGGCAGACAGGCTGCTGGGGGAGACTTCTCACTGCTGCGAGCCCTTTGAGACACAAGGAATCCGGCTCACTGGGGACAAGATCAAGTAGAAGCCATCATGCCTGCTCCTGAGATGCCGCCGAGGCCCTGTGTGCTGGCCCGGGAGCCCCGGCCTTCACCCGACACCCAGGAAACTGGTATCGCCACCTGCCAGCCCCTGCTCTCCCAAGCAGCCTGGTTCTGTCCCACCCCTGCACTCTCAGGCTCCGTGGGTCCAGAAGGGGCAGGCGGTGAGCAGACGCCCCTGCCTGCACAGGAAGGGCTGTGTCCAGCTCTGAGGTCCCAGGCTGAGGCAGGGGCCATGCATCCTCCCCTCCTGGCTGCCAGGGCCCTGACACCTAGATCCTTTTATAGTGGATCTGCGTGGTGCACTCCCTTCACACCAAGGATCCATTGCACCTTGCCAGCTGCCTTGGTGCTTCCTCCAGCAGCCACCACCTCTCACCTCACCTCAGGGCTCAAGTCCTCCTGCTGTGTTAGTTTTGTCATCAGAGAAAATTAAACTGGTCAGATCTGGGAGCACCAGGGTGTGTCTGCATCAGTGTGGGGTCTGCAGGGGCGGTGCAGATAGTATGGGACTCCCTGGATGGGCCCTCCAGCTTCCTGGGACCCCAAAATGGACTGATTTCCTCCCTAGAGCAGCCCAGGGCAAGGGCATTGATTGGAGCCCATGGCCATCGAACCACCCACGGCGAGGCTTGGAGGGGGGAAGAGGTTACCACCACTTCTGGGCCATTTCCGGAAGTGTGGGGACTGAGGTGGAAGACGCCTGCCCACCTCAGGCAGGAAAGGGGGTAGAGGCATTGTCTCTAACGTGACTTGTAGAACCTTCATACCGTGAGAACCAGTCACACCCAGGGAGTGAGGCAGCAAAGCGCGGGTCACACTGGCGGGTCAGGTGCACCTGCCCCAGCTGGTGCTGTCCCCCTTCCTGGACCCCTAGGGCAAGGCCCTTTTCTAAATGGGTACTTCAAATGTCACATTAAGGAATTGCCCCTCCTTTCTTCTTGACACTGCTCACCACCGTCCCCCTCACTGTCCTCTTTTCTCAGAGATTTTTAACACCCAGTTAAAGAGGAAAAGCCAACCCTCTTTGGGGGAGGGGAGTGACAGTCGGCAGGGAGGGGCGGGGGAGGAGCAGGTCACATTTGTTTCCAGCCCTGCTTCCCCCTGCCCAGCTCATTTTTTGACTTTCAACCTCAGGTTCCCCTTTTCTCACAGCCTCGCACCCCATCAGTTATCTCTCCTTCCGCACAGCCTTCTCCCTGGTGTCAGCTCATCTGCAAAGACCAAACTGCTGATGTGGCTGGCTGCTGGCAGCTCGGCCCGGATGCCTTGCTGGTCATGGCGAGGGGGCTCATGACCTGGCCAGTGGCCAGTGGCCAACACACCCCTCTCCTGGTGGCCCTCGGGGGCCATCAGAGCCCTTCACTGTCTTGATCCCAGTGGTGGAAATACTTAGAGGATCCGCAGCACGGCCCCCCGGGGTTCTTGGTCCATAACAGGCACAATGCTAGTTAACTCTCTAGAGAGGAGCAGGACGCCGGGCGTGGGTGCCTGCAGGAGCCAAGGAGACAGCTGGGGGCTGGCAAGCCTGTCCGCGCAGGCTGCGCGGGCCGTTCTGTTCTCAGAGTGCGTGGGCTGCGCTCGCGAGTCACTCGTTCTATTCCTGCCACGGGCTGGGAACGTGCTGTGTTCAGGGCCGTGCTTCGTGCACCAGCTCCCAGCCCGCGCTCAGGTTGTCCTGGAGGCCTCTGCCTGTGCCCCCAGCCCCGAGGGAGCCACTGTCACCCAGCCTCCTGTGCACCTCCACCCTGGTCTGCTTGTGTGGGACAGCAGTGAGACAGCTGCATCGGGTCGGCTACCTGGAACCTGCCAGGCCTGGTGCTCGTCCCAAGGCTGGAAATCTCTGTCCCCAAGGGATTGCCCTAGTTTTCCCATAAACTCAAGCCTTTAGCTGGATGCGGGCTCTGGGAAAACTGGTCCCTCTGTCCAGATGGGTGATCCCACCAGATAGCAGGGCCGGGGACACTCTGTGGCTACCTGGGATCCCTCAGAACCTTGAAACCTCATGCTCCAGCGTGGCGGGGACCGCATGCCCAGCGCCACTGCCATCTTCCTCCACCGCTGTGGGGTCGCACGGGAGCGGCCCCTGCCAGCAGGAGGACTCCGTGGCCGGAGTGGGCGTGGGAGTCTGACCCGAGGACCCACCCTCCCAGGCCTTGGCTCTCAGGTTGCAGGGACCATATTATTCCTTGTGGGGGTCAGGAACCGGATAGGGAAACTTGAGGCAGTGAAAGGTCCAAATACGGCCAGGTCATGTCCTGAGGCCTCAGGGCTGCAAGGGGACCATGCCTGTCTCAACCTGAACTTGGCCCCGCCCAAGGGATGTGTTGCGGAGGTCCATCCGGCTTCTGTCTCCGCAGCCGCCCCTTGCCCACGCGCGAATGCTCGAGGCCACGGCGACGACGTCGGGGACCAGGCTGACGGGGAGGCCGGCAGCGCGAGGCCCGCGAGAGCCGAGGGGCCGGGGCGAGGGGGAGACAAAGGCGGGGGACGGCGAGAGCGGAAGACAAAGCGCGGAGGGGGGTCGCGGCGGCGCCGGGCGGGGAGGCGGCTCCGGGCGCGGCGGAGCCAATGGCGGGCGCGGGGCGGGGGCCGGCGGGGGCGGCGCCGCGATAAGGCGGTGGCGGCGGCCGCCGCTCGGGGAGCAGTGGCTGTGGTGGCAGCTGGCGCGCCCTCCACGCACCCGAGGCGCACACCCCCGCCCCCAGAGATCGACCCCCGCCCCGCGGCGCAGGCCGGGGCCCGGTGAGACCCTGCGGGCGGGCCGGGGGGAGGGGCCTGCAGTCGGCTCTGATGGCGCGGTGCAGAGATGGGGGGCCCCAGCGAGGGCCGGAGCCCCCCGGCTGTCGGCCAGTCCTTCCTCCGTAGGTCTCCGGTCGGGCCAGAACCCGCGGGGTCCGGGCTGGGGCCCAGTGCACGCGGGTCCGGAGGCCGAGGAGCCGTGTGCATGGGCGGCGGCAGAGCCCGCGGGCGCTGTCCAGGAGCTGGGCAGCACAACCGGCCAGCTGGAGGCCTCGGCGCCTCCACCCGGCACCGGGCACAACGTTGGGCACGGGTCAGGCCAGGGCAGCGGGTTCTCGCCGCGGGCCCCGCCCCGTGCTCGCCTGACCTCCCCTCACCCCAGGCAGGGTCGCGTCCCGCTGGGTGATCATCCTATGGCGGCTGCGCCGAGCGCCCTTTCCCGCGCCGCGCCCCGCTAACTTTGTTCTTACAGCACACATGGTTCCACTCAGGGACCACCCCCCTCCCGTGGGGGAGCAACGTTTGGGGGCGAGCGGAAGTGGCAAGACCAAGAGCAACAGGAAATGACTTAGGGAAAGTCCCAACCGCAGCCCCCCAGCCCCCTGCCTGTAAACACCCCCTCCCCTGCAGGCTGGGGGAGGGCCTGTGGGGCCCCAAGTGAGCGAAGGAACGAACCGACTTCCCCTTGCAGAAACGAGCGAGCGGGTGCCGCGCCTCCACCCGGGTCCTCCATCACCTCGGACGAGCCATGTTCCAGGCTACAGGAGCCGCCCAGGCCACCCCTTCTCATGTAGGTGACCCCACCCAGCAGGTGCACTGGGAGAAGGGAAGTTTCCTATTACCCTTGCCCCCTGTTGAATGCCACTGGAAACTTGGCAGGGGCATTACAGAGCCAACCTCTGTCTTGCCTGCCTCTCTCCCCCAGGAAGCCAAAGGCGGCAGCAGCAGCAGCAGCTCGGTGCAGCGCTCCAAGGTAGGCTGCCCCGGGGTGGTTGGTGGTTGTGGGACAGGGTGGGTGCTGGCCAAGCCTGGCTGAGTCTGTCCCCGCACAGTCCTTCAGCCTGCGGGCCCAGGTAAAGGAGACCTGCTCCGCCTGCCAGAAGACTGTGTACCCCATGGAACGGCTGGTGGCAGACAAGCTCATCTTCCACAGCTCTTGCTTCTGCTGCAAGCACTGTCACACTAAGCTCAGGTGCGCAGGCCCCTCTCCCCCGCTGCCACTCCCCTTGCCGGTCCAGGCCCTAGCTGCCCCTAACTGGTTTGCTGTGCTTCCCCCTCAGCCTGGGCAGCTACGCAGCGCTGCATGGCGAGTTCTACTGCAAGCCCCACTTCCAGCAGCTCTTCAAGAGCAAAGGCAACTACGATGAAGGCTTTGGCCGGAAGCAGCACAAGGAGCTGTGGGCCCACAAGGAAATGGACCCCGGCACCAAGACAACCTGATGTCACCCCAACCCTCCACTCCCTGGGCAGAGCACCTGGAGCTGGGCAGTGGAAAGGGTGGGAAAGAGGTGGGAGCTGGGTTTGGGTTGGAGGACGGGGCTAAGGCGGGGAGATGAGCCTGCAGAGACAGAAGCTTCCAGGGGCAGGGCTCTGCTCCAGGAGCCCTTCCTTCTCGCAGAGGGTCTGGGAACCTGGATCAGAGGCTTGGTCACCACCCTGCTTCCTGCTTCTTTCAGCCCACCTCCTCCATGCCCTAGTCCCTGGGGAAGCCTCTGAGCCCAGCTTCCCTACTTAGGTGCCTTTTCTCCGGCAAGGAGTCAGCATGCTGGGTCCCCAGCTCAGGGTCCCCAGCTCTCTCACTGCCGCCCCCGGCCTCCTGGGGCCTCCGGGTTTCCCCATCTACCTCTGCCTTTAACCTGGTCTTGAGCCATGAAGACTGGGAGGAAGGGGAGCAAGAGTGCCACCTGCTGGGCCACAGGAGAGCAACCACGGCCTTGAGGGTGGGGATGGGGACGTGCAGCCAACTGCCCCCAAGGGGCCTGGGACCACCTGGCACCACCAGCAGCAGAGCTGAACAGTGGAAGGCAAAGCATCTGCTAGGCTGAGAGCCTCAGAGCCGGCCAGGGGGCTGGCAGTGACCACTCCTCTCCCCCCTCGTTCCTGTCCCTTCTGTTGTGATCACCCCCCTTTTAAACATGTTTAAACAGATTGTGACTCTGTATTATGTGGCCTGATGGGGGGCTTTGTGGTAGGAAGGAGACAAGACTTAGCCTGGGGCTGGGAAGCGTGCGGGGGTGTGTCCAGGACGCATGAAACAGTCTGCTCGCCCTACCCGTTGCCCCATGTTAAACCTGTAGTGGTTTTCTAACTGAAACCCAGCTTTGAGGTGGCCACGATGCCCCATTCTGACAGGGACATGGGGAAGCGCCGGAGGCTGACGTGTCAGTGGGTGACAGTTCCTGGCTGTGCTGCACTTGTTTTGTGGGGAACAGGTAGAAACCTGCTTGAACCCTTCTTAGCGCCCCCTTCTCCTTAGCTGGCTTCAGTGGTGGGGCTCCCCTTATTCAAACCCATGGGAACTCCTGCCCCTGCCTGGCTGTCATCTTCCTTCTGCCTGCCCAAGCTCTGGGGTGATGGCTCAAGGGCCCCATCTCCCACACATGGGTTCTCGGCAGGAAGTCTTGGTTGTCCTTATTTTTTCAAGTGGCCACTGGGATGAGTTGGTCTAGCAGGAGGGCAGGGGCCCCTGGAGGCCTTGCCGCCTGCCGCTACCTCAGACATCAGCCTGAGTTTCTGTGTGACCTCACGGAAGAGGAGATGTGGGGCTGGGCCTCAAGCTGTGGAGGCCACTGGCTGCCTGTGTCTGCTGAGACAGGCTGCGCTGCCTGCAGTAAGTGGGGATGGTGTCTGGGGTTCCTGAGTCGCCTCCCTCAGGGCCAGCTCTGCTTCCTGCGAGGCATCTGGGGGCAGTCTGCATCAGTGTAAAGCAGGTGGCACAGGGGGAGACCTGGCATGGCTCCTGGTGGTGTCCGACCTCACCTCACTAGGATGGGACTAAAGGGAATTGTGATGCCTGCAGAGACCAGGAGAACCAGAGGCCCAGGGACGCAGCTGTGGCGATGTCCAGGTCAGAAGGACCAGCAAGCTAGAAGCATACACCCTGAGGGGGCTTCACGAGGGGAGGGGGCCGCTGCTGCGCTCCCAGGGCAACTGAGTCAAGCTGTCACAGCCTTGCTCTTGGAGTCATTAAGTTCTTTTTGCTTGAGGAGTCTGTGTCAGGTTCCTCCTAGGCAAACCTTACCTATATTCACTCCCTAAAAGGCATGACCACAGGACCCGTCTGGTAGAAACAATCCCTTTTATTGTAAGTAATGCACGACACTGGCCTGGCTTTGCACTGCAAGCCCTCAGTCAAGGTATAGTCAGATAACTATGGCTGCAGGTTCTTCTGCAAGACCCACAATTCAGACAGAGACAGAGCTGGGAGGAGCGGGGCTGGCCAAGGTGAACATCCCCCGCGGAATGATGAGAACATGGCAGCACAGCCCCTTCCCACAGCAAGGGTGGGGCTGCTAAGAAACTGCTCCTTGGACTTCTGGGCCCAGGCTACCCTAGAGTCCCACAACTTTTATTCTGAATTAGTGGGAAAAAAAAAAGAATAAATTAAAATGAAGGAATGTCTTGGTCCTGAGGATGCTGAGCCAGCATGTCCACAGTTTTTGGCACAAAATTTCAGGGTCTGGGTGAGTTTTTCTGTTTTGGAGTGCTAGGTTTGTTGGCTTGCTTTCAAATTCATTTAAAAACCTTCCCTGTGAGGTAAGCCCCGGGGGTGGGGCTCTGCGAGAGCCTGAACCTGGGACACGCAGAGTCGTCTTGGCAGCCGGCATCACTGTTTCCTTTGGAGAGGCGGGAGGGGGCTGTGGGGAGGCCGAGCCACCACATGGCAGCTTTGGTCAAGACGAGGGGCCAGTCCCACCCTGGGCAGGGGCCGCAGTGCAGGCAGGGACACGGCTTCCCTATCTACACAGGGCAGTGGGGAATGGATGGGGTCTCACAGAAGGAAACAGGGGCCCAGGCCCAACGGGCACCATGCAACACACATTTCTGCAAAACCAGCTGCTTCCACTTTCTCTTCTCTCTTGAGGCGTCCTCATCTGTAACAGTCTAGAATTGATATATATAAAAACCATCAAATATGATCTGAGATATAAATTAACAAGTACAAGGCCTCACATTACATGATGTGAAAAGGCTAAAAACAGCGATAGAAACTACATTCATAAAAGTGCATCGTCAACATACAACGAAGGCTTTGGCTTGCTCTGTGCCATGGGGAAGTGGGCATGGCTGGCAATGAGCTGCCTGGGGCTGACCCCCAGCTCCCTGGAGACGCCCATCCCCTGGCACTGGCTTTTTTTTTTCCTTCTTCCTTAATGACAACTCCCAAGGAAACTGGGTGTCGAGAGGAAGGAGCTCTAGCAATAGGCACATTTTGGAGGGGAGGGGCCGGAAGAAAGGACCAGCGCCCAGGCTGAGGTAAAACATGGCCAACTCTAAGCTGCTTGGAGACACTGTTCCCCAACACCGCTGCCACTCCTCCTGCAGAGGAGGAGTGAGAAGGGGAAAGAGGCTGGGACCTCAGGGGAATGGGCACGGCTGGCTAAGGAAGAACAAAGCTGGCGGTTCTGGACACACTTGGTCACAGCCCATGGGCTTTTCCTTTTGCCAGATGGAGAGGGCTCTGGCCTGACAGGGTCAGACCCAGCCCAAGGCAACTCCCTGTTTCTCTTGGGTGAGGACAGCCAGCTGGGCTGGATGCCCTCACTGTGTTGTCCACCCTCCTCTCTGCTCCAGTGAGGGCAGATGCCAGGCTGGGCACCCTGTGGCTACTACTGTCAGCTCTTTCCAATCCAGCCCAAGGCCCAAGCCTTCAGTAAGGTCCTGAGCCCAGAGGGCACAGTCTCCACTTCAGGAACTGGGTACAGCATAGGAGTGACTCCAACTTGTAAAACAGAGACAATTGCATTGATGAAACCAGGTTTCCCGCCATGGTGGTGGGACAGTTCCTTATCTCAGGCCCCTGCTTTGCGGGGCAAGCAGGACAGGCACCTCCTTCCCTGAATAAGGCAGCAGACATTTGCTTCATTCATCTTTGGTTAAAGGCCAAGGACTAGCAAAGCTGACCTAGGGGCTCCAAGGAGGAGGGCAGCGTGGTCTTTCTTTGCCCTCCTTTGGTTGGGGATGCTGGGTTTACCTCAGGCTGCAGTGGACTCCCCCAGCCCAGAGCCGCATGCCCTAGTGGTCTGCAGACACCAGGAGGAGAAACAAAATAACACTCTGAATGAAAAGCACTCATCATCCCCTTGCGTCAGTCTAGTGCCCTCAGACCCTCGGGCTCGCTGCCCACCACAGTGTCAGGCTGCACCCTGAGGGCGGAGCCTGAGCCACCTCTCCCACTGTGCTCAGCCTCTGCAACTCCATGCTGAGCTTAGGACTCTGGAGCTCCGGGGTCTGGCAGGCAAGAGGCTCCCAATCCTTGTGGCTACAGTCGCCCACCCTGGCTCCGAGCCCCATGCCAGAAGGGGCACAGGTGAAATGCTGGCTGGACTGCAGCTCCACGGTCCCCAGCCTTGCCTGGGAGAAGCAGCAACTTCACTGCGCCCTACGGTAGCCCCTTGCTCACGTGGCAGGAGCAGCTGGCAGCAGTGCGGCCTTGAGCTCAGTACACGAGCTGTGCAAAGTGGTGTGTGAGCAGCTCCTCGGCGGAAGGTCTCTGCCGAGCCTCCACAAAGATGCGTCTCAGGAAGTCCCGGCCGTGCTCCGAGATGTGGGAGGGCAGCTGCGGGTTGGTGGGCTGTGTGGCAATCTTGAAAATGGCAGCCATGGCTTCATACTCTGCCCAAGGTGGTTTCTCTGTCAGCATCTCCACTACAGTACAGCCCAAGCTCCTGAAGAGAGACAAACTCAGGTCACCTCTAGGCCAGCCTTGGGTTCCCAGCTGCCCGGCCCATTACTGTGAAAGGAGGTGCTGTTCTCAGAAGACAGTGAGGTGGATGAGCCATTCTGGGGGTTGACTTCCCCTGGGTCCCCAGGGCCAGAAGAGGCTCAGAAGCACCCCCAGTCCTGTCCATATCTGTTTCATCAACCTATACATCATCACCTCCCAGGGCCTCCTGAGACAAGGACAGGAAAGGGAGCCACCAAGCACAGCTCTGGAAGTGAGACAAGGACAGTTCCTTCTGGGACCTCTGGGGGCACAGCCATCCTCTTGTCTTGTCCAGCCTCTACAGGCCATCCAAGTTTCTTGGCTCACAGGCCTCTCCCTTACATGAGTCCAACCTCCTGCTTCCAACATCAGGCTTCCCACTCCCTGCTCTGACTTGCCTACCTTCTTTATACCAAGGCCACCCTGAATAATCCAGGATACTCTCTTTGGTGTAAACGCCTAACTTAATCACCCACAAAGGCCCTTAGATCCTGGAAGGTGGCATTTACAGAGACGAGCACATGAGCATCTTGAACCATTCTGCTTGCCCACCCAACAGCTCCGCAGAAAGCAGCTCCCCAGGCCTACAGACAGGAGTCAGGTAGGGAAAGCACCAGCCATGTGGAGAAGAGGCAGGACACAGTTCCTCCTGACTTGGAGACATGAAAGCTGTCGGAGTGGATCCCAGTTCTTGAAGGGATTCAGCAAACACAAGGAGTGGTTGCCCTCACTTGGGTTTCCAGCACCGGCAAACGGAGTGGCATTTGGTGTTAACACGGAACCGATGTGCTAGCTGAACTCGTGCCCCATGGGGCCTGGGCCTGACAGGTGCTCAGGCCCTCCTATCACTCTGCAATGTTCCCAACGGCGTTCCTTAGTCACTAAAGCCCAGAGAGATGGGATCCCAGCAAGTCCCCACACTCACCACACGTCTGCCTTCCTTCCGTAGCCCTCGCCGCTGATCACCTCCGGGCTCATCCAGTAGGGTGTGCCAGTGACTGAGCGCATGCCCGTCCCTGACATGCAGATGGTCTGCAGGCGTTTGCTGGCTCCAAAGTCCCCCAACTTCACATTCCCAGCAGAGTCTCGAAGGATGTTGGCTCCTGCGGCACCAAAGGGCAGAGGCTACACTCTTGGACCTTCCTGCATCTGCCACCGTCCTCCCTTCCCCCGCCTCCCCCTGAGGGCTGCTTGGGAGCTGCCACGTTAGACATGCACTACA